AATGCGTGGAAAGGGTAGGACCCAAATGCAGATTACAAAACAAGGTAACAAGGTCTAGAAACAAAAGCGAGCTTTATTCCAAAAGCTGAACATAAACATGGCATGAAACACATAGGTACTACAAAAACTGACCGTGACCAACATGGTGGGAGACAGGAGAAACAATGAACCGAACAGGCACACAGGGGAAGACAAGACTAAATACAGAGAGGGGTAATCACAAGACAAGACACAGCTGGGGTAAGGGAGGCAGAAACACAAGGGCAACAGGTGAACACAATCAAACAATCAGACACACCAGGGAAACTGTGGGTGTTTCTCAATCGCGAGTAAAGCTGCTTCAGAGCCACTATTTCAAGCATACTACGTCATCGAGTGCCGCCGAAGTACTGTTCCAATCTCCAGTATACTTGGAAATCTACCGAGCCCGGCGTACTCCGTTTGGAGAAATATCGAGTGTGCACATGAGTAGACTTCGCGGTCTTAAAATCCCCACAATGCTTTGCGCACGGACCAATTTCCCCAAATCTGTGGCGGAAGATGTAAGAGGCGGGGCCTCTCATATGACGCACACCTGCACACTTGCTAGCGTGTTCCACTCTTTGTTTTCCGAATGTCAGGAAGTATTCTTGACTCGCTTCTGAAGCAAGACGCTCGGCAGACATGTGCTACCAAGCAAGCGTACTCGAGATTGAGAAACACCCTAAAACAGGAAGGCAAACACAGGAAGAAGGAACAGAGAAGACACAAGGAGGAAAACATTTCAAAACAAAACAGGAAACCAGAGACAGAAAAAGACAAGACAAAACACAACACAGACAGATCGTGACAGTTGTAGTCATTTGTTTTGGGCATGTCATTTTCGAGCCTGAAACATGAAAAACAGGCTTGGTGCTTAACAGGTTAAAGGGCGTATCCTTATTTTAAACAACCTTGTCTCCTCCATGCTGGCTCACCGGCTGGCATGCACCGACCCGCCCGTAAATCTGCTGTCCAGGGTGCAGGCTCTCATGGTGGACTTCTTCTGGGACCGCATGCACTGGGTCCCTCAGAGCGTCCTGTTCCTGCCAAAGGAAGAGGGGGGACATGGCCTGGTTCACCTGGTAAGCAGAGGGGCTGCCTTCAGGCTCCGGTTCGTCCAGAGGTTCCTGACTGGACCTGCTGACCTGGTCTGGAGACCTGTAGCTTGGGCCTTATTGGAGCGCTGTGGTGGGCTGGGTCTGGCTGAGTCGTTGTTCCTAATGGACCTGAAAGGATTACGCCTGAATAATCTCTCAGGTTTCTATGGAGGTCTCTTCAAGGTGTGGGGACTACTCAGAAAAGAGAGACCAGAGTGCTGTGGCTCACTGTTCTGGCTCCTCAGAGAGCCGGTGGTAAGTGGATCTCGGTTTGTGTGTGGAGTAGGGCCTTCTCTACAACAGAGACTCTGTGAGGAGAGGATCCTCACGCTGGGCCAGGTGGTGGAGGTGTGTGGCCCCCGCCTAGACAACGCTGCAGGCCTGGCCTCACGTCTGAGCCTCAGGTCAGTCCGGGTGGTCAGCCTCCTGCTGCAGAGCTGGAAACAGCAGCTCAGCCAATCAGAGCTGGCGCTGATCGCTGCTCACTGCAACGGACTGAAGTCTCCAAATGACAATGACTCTTTTCCAGAGATGCTATGTTTTCCTGATCTCAGTTGTGAGGGTTTTTTGTTAAAGTTGAACAATGTCACTGATTTTAAGTTTAGCACCATGTCCAACAAAACCTTTTATTATTTGGTGACAAAGGTGCTGAATCAGAGCAGACTCCAGGAGCGAGTGGACACCCAGTGGAGAGCCCACCTGGGCCTGACGGAGGCTCAGAGGCCTGAGTGGAGAGCGCTCTACAAGCCTCCGCTGACTAAGAGGGGTGGGGACCTCCAGTGGAGGGTTCTCCACGCTGCGGTAGCGGTAAATGCGTTTGTTTCAGTGATCAACCCTACAGTGTCTGATGCCTGTCCTTTCTGTGAACAGAGGGAAAACATTTTTCATTGCTTTACAGAATGTGGTCGACTCCTTTGTCTTTTTCAGTTACTCGCTCAGATGTTGATTTTGTTTAATGTGGTTTTTTCTAAGTCAATGTTCATTTTGGGTTGTAGGTACAGCCAGAAGCAGAAGTGCAAAAGTCAGCTTTTGAATTTGTTGTTGGGGCAGGCTAAAATGGCCATCTACCTCAGCAGGAGGAACAGGGGCGGATCTAGAAAAATATTCATGGGGTGGCCAGGAGGGTGGCAGGAGAATTTCAGGGGTGGCACCCCCTGGCAGAAGTATATGCTGATTTAATCGCAGTCATATCAATTAATGTTAACTTGGAAAGCCACAATATTGATATTTTAACTGAATAACATAGGTGACATTATTGTGGCACATCAGTAAAGCCTTACATATAAATATATAAGGTGGCAGACATCATTGAATGCATTTTAACTGAACAATAACTGAATGAGTTTGACTCTTAGACCAGCAGGGGTACCCAGTGCCGACTGGTCATTAGGGGCAGGTGGGGCACAGCCCCACTTAGTGTCAGCAGAAAGTATTACAAATAATGATTATAAAAAACTGCAAAAAAAACTGATTCGTCTGTACATTGCTGTTTTAGTCTGTGTTCTTCTAATTAGTGTGTCTACAGTCACAGTGTGTGCCTATTGAGCTGTTTAGAGCCATGTGGGACAAAACCTGATTATGCCCCTCCCTCTCGCTGTGAAGTGAACGTGACTGTAAAAACTACACTGCGCATGCTCAGAGTATTTTCCTATTTAATGTGTGTGGCAAAAAAATAATGACCATAGGGGCACGGAGCTACCATCCCCACCATACGTCATCTCACATCATTCAGAGCTGATTGGCTGTAAGTACGTGTGCCGCGAAAAGTGTGGTGTGTGAAGAGGAGACGAGAGAGCTGCAGTGACGCGTCCTAAAACCAGGAAGTAAGCTGCGCATGGCTTCCCTCGACAAAAAAGCAATGAGATTTCTCCATAGGATTTTAGAAAATAGCTCGAAATAAGATCTGTGGGAAACGTACCTGTTAGATAAATGCACGTTTTGATCAGCCGGATAATATCCACATGTCTACCCTACTTTTATAATTTTTTTAGACTTTTGAAACTACAAGAACATAAGGAGGACTTTTACAAAAAAGTTATAGACATGTTTGTCCAGAAGGATAGGCAAATGGACTTCATCTTCAAGTCAAGGTAAGACCGCCATTTGATTGAAAATGGGATCTTACTAAGAGAGAACAATTCAATATTTAAATGATAAAATTACATTTTTTGGGTATCCTTTTGTTGAACTGTCTGTTTAAAATTAATCGAAGCATCAGACAAAAAGAGCTTTTGAAAATAATATTATATTTTGGTTTAGGTCAAAATATAATATTTGTAAACCTGAAGAGTCAGTGCCAGTGCCTCACCAGCCATGAACCTCACTGCACGTCACTGCAGAAGCTTATATATAGACATCTAAGTTTTTTGTGCCCCACCACTTTTGTACATATAAAAACGCCACTGGGGTACCAAATCTATGCAGACTGCTGCAATAAGTACATTAATTAACTGTCTCGTCGATGTTTGTCTAAATGAATATGATACTATTAACAATCATATTATTCCTATCAGCTGTCAATCACTGTTATGATTCACACATTCAGTGTTATTATTAAATAAACTATATTTTTTGGAGGAGTTAATGATGAATGTTCCTCAAGATGCTTGCTCACCCTCCTTCAAATTTGAAAGACAAGTAATTATATCATATATCAAAATTCAAAAGATTCAAAGGAACAGTTCAGCGCCCCTCAACTTTACTGCAAACAGTTATAACCTGGACTTTACATCAGAAAGAACAAACATTAAAGAAGTGACTAACTGCATCAGTTAGGGTTAAAACACGTGTATTCAGCTCAAACATATACATCGCTGCAGTTATTATCCAGTGGAATGTCCTTACCTACTGGCCTAGTTAAATCAAAGTGGTTACTTTCTGTTGGCTGGGCAGTGTAGTTTTACACACGTCTAATTTGACTTTCTCAGGACTTAAAACTGTTTTTTGGGGGCAGACCCCCACAAAGAAAACATATATTTACACACGTAAGGTCATCATCTTAACAGTTGTGTATGCTCATCCGTGAGCAGAGCATCAAGTTGACATGTCTATTACAGCTGAATGCGGCGATTACCATGTTGTTCAGCAAAACGCCTCAAACTTATTAAGATCAACAGCTTTAGTGCGTTTTGATTCAATGCTGAGTACAGCCACACTGACAGTCTCTTCTCTGTCATTGGAGACCGTACCTCATTCCTTCAGTACTTGGGTCCGGATGCTTCTCGTTTTGCGCTGTCCCCCGTTCAAAGGAAATCGCCACCAATCACATTTCCACGCTCGCGCCAGGGCCGGGGGAGGGGTTACAAGGCTCGCGTCTTGTGCTGCATTCACTTGCACTCGGACATTAGAGACTTTCTCTCATAAATGTCCGATGAGCCACAACTTTTCTTTCAAAACAAAGCTGCCAACTGGGGTGGCAGCTGGGGTGGCAAGGCATTTTTCTGAGGTGGCAGCTGCCACCCCGTGCCACCCCGTAGAACCGCCACTGGGGAGGAATAAAGTTGAGGAGTCACTGGATTCCGATGCAGTTTTGATTTTCAAGCGGATGGTAAAAGCAAGACTGAAAAGGGACTACAGTTACTTTTGCTTAACCAAAGATGTGGGAGAATTTGAGGCCATGTGGTGTTTTAAAAATGCTTTGTGTTCTGTGGAGAATGAGGATCTTACTTTCAGTCGTTTTCTGAACTGACAAAGTGTGTCATTGTGTCTGTTTGGTTATTTGCTTTGTGAATAAAAGTGGTTTGAAAAATCAAAAAAGAAATCTCTCTCTCTCTGTCTTGTATTCGAGATAGCACTCCTCTCCTGATCACATGACACATAATATAAACATGGATTTCATATTTTAAGTTGTTGATAAAGAAGATCAATAAACTAAAGCTCAGCCTCAGAATCAAGAGAGAGTCTTTTATTCAACAATATTTAGAAACATAGGAAGAAAAAGATCACAGTTTGACATTCAGAACATTACAGTATGATTCCAGATATTACAGTCAGTCAGGAGAGACTCTCAGACCTGCAGAGGAACCAGAGACACTGAGGAGAGACTCTCAGACCTGCAGAGGAACCAGAGACACTGAGGAGAGACTCTCAGACCTGCAGAGGAACCAGAGACACTGAGGAGAGACTCTCAGACCTGCAGAGGAACCAGAGACACTGAGGAGAGACTCTCAGACCTGCAGAGGAACCAGAGACACTGAGGAGAGACTCTCAGACCTGCAGAGGAACCAGAGACACTGAGGAGAGACTCTCAGACCTGCAGAGGAACCAGAGACACTGAGGAACCATCAGTCCATAACCCGAACCCAGCATAGAGAGGTTCAGTGAAGGTGGTTCTGAAGGTGTGGATGTGGGTCAGTTTGTCAGAGGAGACTCTGTAGAAGGAGAGAGAGCCAGCAGGATGATCCAGATACACTGCTACTCTACCAGAGGGGGAGGAGGAGGAGGAGGAGGAGGAGGAGGAGGGGATGTTTGTTAGGCTGTTATTGTGCCAGACACAGTAACGACCATCATCAGAGCACTCCAGACTCCAGGACTGATCATTCTTTCCAAACTCACAGTCCTGACTCTTTCCTCTCCTGCTGATTCCTCTGTAAGTCACTGATATATAAACCTCTCCTCTCCTCTCGACCTCCCAGAAGCAGCGACCAGTCAGAGCTTCTCTGCACATCAGCTGATACCAGGAGTCAAACCTCTCTGGATGATCAGGATATGGCTGCTCCTCCTCCAAACGTGTCACCGTCCTGTTGTTGTCAGACAGTTTGAGTTTCCTCTGTGCTGTGTTTGTGTCCAGCTCCAGTTCACAGGCATCTGATGGAGAGAACAGCTGCAGGTTATCATCTGTTCATTTATTAACTACTTTACTGACAATCAATCACTGACAGGAAACCATTCAGACTGACGTCTCATATTCACTGAGAATGATGTCTAACAACCTGATCTTCATCAGTAGGTGATCCATCAATGAGAGAGAGAGAGAGAGAGAGAGAGAGAGAGAGAGAGAGAGAGAGAGAGAGAGAGATAGAGAGAGAGCGAGAGAGCGAGTAGAGAGAGAGATAGAGAGAAGAGAGAATACAGCGCGATGATAGATAGCGTAAGCATATAGCGTATCTTCTCTATTATAGTCTATCTATCTCTCTCTCTCTTCTCTATCTTGTTTTCTCTCTCTACTCTCTCTCTCTCTCTCTCTCTCGCTCTCTCCTCTCTCTCTATCTCATCTCTCTCTATCATTTATGTCTGAAAGAGAGAGAATTCAAATAGCAAACATTAAAAAGAGAACATTAATCTGGTATATAATATCTGTATCAGTGCTGAGGACAACAGGGATTACTACATTTACACTAAGTGGAACAAAGACCTGGACGTAGAAGACGCTAAACTAAAATGGAAGGAATGCTTACAACTTACATATAAAATGACTGCAAACTAAAATCTACGATTAACTCAATATAAACTAATGACAAGAATGTATTACAGGAGGGAGAAAATACATACATTTGATAGCAGTGTTTGTTTACATTTGAAACCCTAAATATATGAGAATATACCTATAACAGTGAAAAGAAGAAGTGAGCTATCTGTTGGTTCTGTTGGTTCTGTGTTCACTTTGTTGTGTTTGTGGATCTCATGTGCAGTGTAACCTGTGCAGCTCTGAGGAATCAAACTGAAAACACACTCACACTTCCTCACACCAGGTTTCAACCTCTGCAGTCCACCATGGTCCATCCTGCAGGAAGAAACACAGTCAGGATCAACTTCATACACCTTCACTCATATCCACCATTACACAGGAAGCAGAGTCCCTCAGTGACAGAGACACAGTCTGTCTGTCTGTCTGTCTGTCTGTCTGTAAGTCTGTCTGTACCTGAGTGTCTGTCTGTCTGTCTGTAAGTCTGTCTGTCTGTACCTGAGTGTCTCCAGTCTCCAGAGTGGATCCTCCAGTCCAGCAGACAGCAGCTTCTCTCCCGAGTCTCCTGGATGATTGTAGCTCAGGTCCAGCTCTCTCAGATGGGAGGGGTTAGAGCTCAGAGCTGAAGCCAGAGAAACACAGCCTTCCTCTGTGACCAGACAGCCTGCCAGACCACACACACACACACACACACACACACACACACACACACACACACACACACACACACACACACACACACACACACACACACACACACACACACACACACACACACACACACACACACACACACACACACACACACACACACACACACACACACACACACACACACACACACACACACACACACACACACACACACACACACACACACACACACACACACACACACACACACACACACACACACACACACACACACACACACACACACACACACACACACACACACACACACACACACACACACACACACACACACACACACACACACACACACACACACACACACACACACACACACACACACACACACACACACACACACACACACACACACACACACACACACACACACAATGAAGTGGCTCATCTTCGTATTTTGTAGCAGAAAACCTTCAACCAAATATTGATGACCAACTCTGTGGTGGTATCATCAGATCTGCAGGTCTGCAGTAACATTTTTATAGCCTTATAGTCAGTGCTTGAATTGGGCCGGTACTCACCGGTACGCAGTACCGGGACTTCTGATTTTTAACCATCTGGTACCGTTACTTCTTACTGAGTACCGGCACGGTGCCGGTACGGCGGTACTCAGTACTCAGTAGATGCGTCATGAGGTGCCGCCGCCGCTTTGCCCGCCTCGCCCCCGGAGCAGCAGTCTTCGTCGCCCCAAACACCGCCACCCCTCGGTGGCCCGCAAGTGCCAGAGGACCTCGGCAAAACAGAGCCTGCCCAGGTATATTTAAACAAGTTCCCAACTCGCCTGTACAGTGGGGTAAGGCGCTCATTTTGCAGCTCATGGTTTCAAAACAGAGATTGGCTGGAATTTCCTGTAAAAAAGATGCCATCTTCTGCTACAGTATGCCTGTAGACATTTCGGTTCAAATACATCTAACTCAGATGCCTTCACCACAATTGTACCAGAGTACCAAACGCTGTCTCCTGGTACTCATCTGAGTAACTCACTAAAAATGAAATACTATATGACAGTAAAACAAGAATACAGTTTAAAAGGAGAGTGATTTGTAAAATATCCATAAAGAAATAGAAAATCTGTTTCCAGTTGTGTTTCATGTGGATGTTGAGAGAGGTATCCATATATCTCTTCATGTTGCTCTCAAAGTGCACCAGATTGATGCTTTTAACTTCAACATTTAAAAAGAAATCTTGTGTTAGACCCACTCCCCACTTATAAAAATAGCACTTTACCCCTGCACCCCCTCTAATCTCAGATGCACCCTGAGCAGTGTTGGGCAAGTTACTTTAAAAAAGTAACTAGTAATAGTTCTATTTCATACTTACTGACCGCCAGAGGCGGTGCTTTAGCACTGGATAGCTTCTGTCTCGCGCATGCGTAGGTCGAATATTTATATCAACAAAGTCACGTGTGACCTCGTATGACACCGGAAGGTATAAGTTCCGGTGTTGTCAACGAGTTCAGTTCTTATTCATCTTCTCGCTGCGCAGGTTACTACTTTATGAGTAGAAGCCAAGCTAGCTTATTGAAATTCTAGCTCATCTGTAGCCTTGCGATCGTCTCGATCGGAGCTGCGGGCTAGAAACGCTCGCCCTCCAAAGGCTGCGACGAGCTGTCCGCCCTCCCAAGGGAGGGGACCGCGGTGTTCACCGCTCGGACCCCAGGAGCTCCGGACCGGTAAAGAGCGGACGCTCCTGCACACAGCCGGTGAGATCGCTACCAATTATTGCTGATTGTGCTATCTATTCTCAAGCTAATGAGATAATTGTGTACAAGTTAACCGAGGGCTCTCGCTAATTTGTTACTGTTACCTGTACTATCATCCAGTTAGCTGAGTGCTCCGCTGAAAGCTAACTTTCTACTGCGCTAGTGAAGAGAGCGTCTCCGCCCTCCTTCTCACTACTTACTTTTGGTTCTTTACCTACATACATTTGTTTCCTTACCGGTTCTATCGTCCAGTTAAGCTGAGTGTTTTCGTTCAAGCTAACTGTTACTGCACTAGTGAAGGGAGCGTCTCCGCCCCCCTCTCACCGCATACATTGTTTCCTTACCTGTTCTATCGTCCAGTTAAGCTGAGTGTTTTCGTTCAAGCTAACTGTTACGGCGCTAGTGAAGAGAGTGTCTTCACTCCCCTCTCACAACTCACAATTAGTTCCTGTTCTATCCTCCAGTTAGCTGAGTACTCTCGCTCAAAGCTAACTTGCTACAGTGCTAGTGAGGAGAGTGTCTCCGCTCCCCTCTCACGGCGCACAATTGGTTATTTTATTTAATCGTTTATTTGACAGGGACAATGCACTGTAATGAACACTTAAAACATTTAAATGTGTCAAGCGTAACAGTGCCAGATTTAGCTTTGAGCTATTTTCCATTCCCTCACATAAAACATTTAAGGAAATTACTTTTTACAAACATGGTAAAAAAACAAAATACATGATATGCAAAGAGTGGCAACGACATATAAAGTGTTCCATCCTCCAGTTAACTGAGTGCTCTCGCTCAAAGCTAACTTGCTACAGCGCTAGTGAAGAGAGTGTCTTCGCTCCCCTTTTCACTGCACACAGTTGGTTCCTGTTCCATCCTCCAGTTAACTGAGTGCTCTCGCTCAAAGATAATTTGCTACAGCACTAGTGAAGAGAGTGAATCCGCTCCCCTCTCCCTGCACACAGTTGGATGCCCGTTCCAGCCTTCAGTTAGCAGAGTGCTCTCGCTTAGGCTAACTCGCTACGGCGCTAGTGGAGAGAGTATTCCCGCTCTCCTCTCACGGCATAAACCCATTAACTGACTTCATTTTTTCTCACCCCAGTTAGCAGAGTGCTCACGCTCAAGCTAACTACTATTGTGCTCACTCCCCTCCACTGCATATTTGTTTCCTGGCCAGTTATTTACAGGCAGCTGAGTGCTCTAGCTATCGCTAGGTCTAACGGCTCTAACACCTGTATGGCTCCTCTTCAACCAGAGGATGGCCATGACCTTTGCCCCTCTTGTCTTGGCCTCGAGCATCTGAGGGAGGGACCCGTGCATGAATTGCACCATCATGCCTCGTGCGGTAAGAGCTGCTAGACTAGCCGAGGTTGAACTACTGACTGAGGGTGGCCTTCCCCCCGCACAGTCGACTCCAGCCCAACCTACCCATCCTAGGCGTTGGGCCGCAGAGGCTGCGGGTGCACCGCCCAAGAAGAGGACTAAGCCTGATAGGCTGTCCTCCAGGGTGGACCTACTCACTACTGAGCTAGCCCAGATGAGGTCACTCCTCTTGGCTCTCCATTCTGGTGGCCGTACAGAGCACGCCGCTGCACCCGATCCACCCGTGGCTGAGCTGGTTCTAGAGGACGATGTGTTCTCGATGGCAGCTTCAGCCACTCAATTTAATGAGTATGACGGGGAGAGCCCATCCCATGCTTCTGGGCCTGGCTCCTGTACCTCAGCTCATGGTCCCTCGGAGGAGGCAGATGACGGCTCCATGGGTACCGTCATTCGCATGGCACTGGCTCACCAGTAGCTGGATGCGCAGCAGCCCGAAACAGCGCCTGCCAGTGCGTTCTTTAGGCGCACTCCGGCACCCGCCACCCGCACTGTTCCTCCCTCTTGTGAGTATCTGAGGGAGTTACATGCATGCTGGAGGGACACTAATGGCGCATTTCCACTACACGGTCGGCCTCGGCCACACTCGGTACGGCTCGGTACGGCTTGGCCGCGTTGGGCCTTAACAGGGCCGACTCACTTCATGCTGCGCTTCCATTACAGTTTAGGAACTGGGGTAGTTACTATAGTAACGCAGTGTAGGCGGAGCCGTGACGTCATCTTCAATGAGAAATCCAGAAACACAACACAGCCGTTAGCTGTGAGCACTCAGAGCTCACAGCTCCTTATATATGTTCAGAAACTCGACAAAAGTTAAACAAGTACAAACCACAGACTGCCTGTGTCATGGTGAATACAGTCGCTGCTTTATTTATGTCTGTATAGGCCGTTGTTGTGAGTGTGGACGGTCGGGGCATATACTGCGTTAGCTTAGCCAATCTCCATCTAGAAAAACACGAATTTTAAAAGGTTTTTCGCCTGCCGTCTGTCTGCAGACTTGACAAAGCATTAATTCATGGTTTTTACTAACCGGTATCAGTATGTTGTTACTTCGGCATCATTTTGAAACGTGTATTACAATTAAATCACGGTCAAATATGTCCATCTTGTTGTAGTTCTAGCCCTCTTGCCAGCGCTCCTCTCTCTAGTTTAGCATACTCAGCCCGACTCAGCCCTGTTTGTTGGCCCCGATAGAACCACAATTTTCTAGGGCCAGAAAAGAGGGGAAAAAGTGGCCCCGCGCCGTGCCGCGCCGGAACGAGGCCTAGTGGAAGCACAACCAAAAAAGGGGACGGCACGACACGGCACGCTTAAAGCGAGCTACGCGCTGCAATGGAAATGCGCCATAAGGCTCTTTACAGTCTTACGTCCGATGGCCGAGCCTTGGTAGCCATGCAGGATGCGGCAAGAGTTGGCCTTGACCACACGCCGGCTGTTGAGCCTACCATTGCTTCCCTCATAGTTTCCCCTGACGAAGCTCTGAGGTCGGAGGCCAGGTGCCCTCGACTCCAATGTCGGGTCACTGATGACCTGCTCACTAAGGCTTACGATGCAGCGGCGCGCAGGGGCCGTGTAGGCACCTCATGCTCGCCCTCTCAGCTTCCCTGCAGCAGGATGCTCTTAGCGCTTCCTTAAACCAAGGGTACAAGCTTCAGTTCCGACGCTGGCCCCCAGTCTTCAGCCGGGTCAAGATGACCACCATAAGCGACCCGGCAAAATAAATCGCCCTAAACCAGGAGCTGTCAGTCCTCCTTGCCAAGGGTGCAATCGAGCCTGTGGACCCCATCTCACAGCCCGGGCTTCTACTCGACCTACTTCCTGGTAAGGAAGAAAGGCGGTGGACTTCGCCCAATCCTCGATCTGAGGGGACTCAACAAGTTCCTAAAGATTTTACCTTTCCATGTGCTGAGCACAGCGGACGTTCTTCGTACCGTGGCCAGGGGGGAATGGTTCACGTCCGTCGACTTGAAGGACGCTTATTTTCATGTGCCTATTGTGCCTCATCACAGGCAGTTTCTTGGCTTTGCCTTCAGAGGTCGTCATTTCCAGTTCAGGGTGCTCCCATTTGGACTCTCCCTCTCCTTAGACGACTGGTTAATCTGGGCACCATCCCGGTGACAGACGATCCAGGACACGGCTCTCCTTCTCTCTCATGTCGCCCGGCTAGGCCTCAAGGTGAACATGGAGAGGAGTTGTCTGAACCCCTCTCAGAGCCTAACCTTCATTGGGGTGGCTCTGGACACAGTCACTCAACCAGCGAAAGCAGTGTTCTCGCCCCCACTCCTGGTAGACGTGATGCTTTATTCTAGCAGCAGCCGACTGGATAAGCCGTCCTGCTAAAACTTCTTGTTTTTTTCCAGCTAGGTGAAGGCAGTGCTCTCGCTCCCGCTCCCTCTGCTGGTAACATGGGTGTAGTTACATTCCTTTTGTGTTCGGCGAGTAGGAGCGTTGCTCTACTCTTTCCGTTCAGCAGGTAGCTGGGGAAGGCTGTGTTGTCGCACCCCGCTCCCGCCTACGCTGCATCTGGCATTCGTTATTAACTCAACCAGTGAGGGCGGTGTTCTCGCCCCTGCTCCTGATAGACGCGCTGCTTCATTCTAGCAGCAGCTGCCTGGCTAAACTGCCCTGTTAAATGTCCTTATCTAATCCACCTAGGTGAAGGCAGTGCTCTCGCTCCCGCTCTCTCTGCTGGTAACGTGGGTGTAGGACATTTACATCCCTCTCTGTGTTCGGCGAGTAGGAGCATTGCTCTACTCTTTACGTTCAGCAGGTAGCTAGTGGAGGCTGTGTTCTTGCACCCAGCTCCCGCCTACGCTGCATCTGGAATTCGTTATCAACTCAACCAGTGAAGGCAGTGTTCTCGCCCCCGCTCCTGGTAGGCGTGTTGCTTGATTCTAGCAGGAGCCGCCTGGCTGTCCTGTTAAACTTCCTTGTTTAACGCAGCTAGCCTGTCCATCTGCTGCACAGACTCTGCTGTGGGACGCCTTGGCGTCTCCCCAACAGGAAGGACCTCTTGTCTCAGTTGGAGGGTCGGATGTGGCACCCCGACCCCTGCCACCTCCAGCTGTGGGTCTGGCCACTGGAGGGCCCGACCCACTGCTGAGCGACTGCATAGAGTCTGTCAGGAAGACTATTCTCAAATGCTAGGGCACAATCTACTCGTAGGCAGTACGAAAACAGGTGGAAACTGTTTTTTTGACTGGTGCCAAGGGCGAAATGAGGACCCAGCATATTGCTCGGTACCTACGACCCTTGAGTTCCTTCAGTCCCTCCTGGACGACGGCCGGTGTCCCGCTACCGTCAGGGTGTATGTGGCTGCTATATCAGCTCAACACGCAAGGGCTGACAACAGCACAGTGGGGAGCCATAGGCTGGTATCCCTCTTTTTAAAGGGGGAGCTCTGAGGCTTCGCCCCCCGAATATCCCAAGGGCCCCTACATGGGACCTGCCCTTGGTGCTGGATGCCCTATGCTTGCCTCCTGTTGAACCTTTGTTACAGGCAGAACTGAAGTGGCTCTCAGCTAAGACTGCTTTCCCTCTTGCCATCACCTCAGCAAAGCGTGTAAGCGAGCTTCAGGCCTTGTCCGTGAACAGCTCGTGTCTGAGGTGGAACTCAGATGGCTCAGGTGTCACCTTTGGCCGAACACAGCGTTCCTCCCTAAGGTGCTGGCACGCTCTCATTTTAATCGGCCTATCCAGCTGGCATGGTTTGACCCCCCATCAGGAGAGGGGGAAGAGAGGTCAAGACTCCTATGCCCGGTGCGGGCCCTTAGAGCTTATGTCCAGACTACCGCAGGCATGCGTCAGTCTGAACAGCTCTTTCTGTGTTACGGTGGTCCTAGAGGGAGCTGTGCGCTCTCAAAACAGCGCTTGTCCCACTGGATCATGGACGTCATTGCCCAGGCATACAAGGCGAATGACCGTCCCTTGCCACCCAGAGTAAAGTGCCACTCTACCAGGAGTGTCTCCACGTCATGGGCGGCCTTGAGAGGTGTGCCCCTGGAGGACATATGTGCTGCGGCCACATGGGCATCTCCGAGCACATTCGCCAGATACTACAGGGTGACGGTTGCCGCCCCTCACCCGCTGGGTGTGGTCCTCCTGCAGAGTCCGTCTAGGCCATCCCTATAGGGGGAGTATTCAGACTTCCTCGTGACTCATTTGGTATAGGTCATCCAGTGCTAAAGCACCGCCTCTGGCGGTCAGTAAGTATGAAATAGAACGATAGTTACGTATGTAACTACGGTTCTATGAATACTGGATGACCGCCAGAGTTCTTGGTCACTCGGAATTTCGTGTTTCCGCGAGAAGATTCCATAGGACTGAGCTCGTTGACAACACCGGAACTTATACCTTCCGGGGTCATACGAGGTCACACGTGACTTTGTTGATATAAATATTCGACCTACGCATGCGCGAGACAGAAGATATCCAGTGCTAAAGCACCGCCTCTGGCGGTCATCCAGTATTCATAGAACCGTAGTTACATACGTAACTATCGTTATAGTTACTGCTCTCAAAAAAGTTACTAGTTACTTTATTAGTTACTAAATTATAAAAGTAACTAGTAACAAGTTACTTTGCTTTACTTTAAAAATAATAACAATAAAAATACAAGTTGTTGTGTTGTTCTGTGCCACAGTAAGACTAGTTGTATAGCCGCATGTACATTAGTTAGGTGCTTCAGGAGATTGGCATTGCTGTTATTCGACGTGGACAATGCTTTCTGTCCTGCACACAGTTTACATTTGACCGTAATATCTTTTGCGTCCTTTATCCCCACAAAAATTGAAAATAGTGGTTATATCTCCAAGTTGTAAATACGCTGCTGCTCTCGCTGATACTTGCATCTGGCATTGTGTGTGTGTGTGTGTGTGCTGGTGGTGGGCGTTGCCGTGTATGTGTGTGTGTTAGCAAGTGTTTGTGTGTCTGTGTATTTTCCCCATAAGGCAAGACCCGCCCAACTCTGTCTCTGATTGGCTTACCCTGAAATGTTACCCGCGTTAACCAATCATCACTCCTCTCTGGTCACTTTCACTTGTCCATGGTACTGTGAGAGGACATCACTGTATTCGCCTGTAAGTTACATTCGCACGGAGATTCGGTTCAGTTGGATCACATAATGTAACGCAGTAACGCACCCATTTAAATCACAGTAACGATAACGGCGTTACTGAATGGGAATAGGTAACTAGTAACGTTATTAGTTACCGCAAAAGGTAGTTGCGTTACAGTAACGCGTTAGTTTGTAACGCGTTAGTCCCAACACTGACCCTGAGTCATTTTGTTTAAGTACAGTGAGCCGTTCTAAAATATACAGTAAAGAGACAAACCCACCAGCATTATAGGATATACTATGACTTTGAGCCAAATTCTTGTTTTTAGGCTGTATAAATAAATTGACTTGAAACAGTTGCTGATTTAGAGTACTGGCACCTTTTTTATTCCAATTCAAGCACTGCTTATAGCTAAAAAGGCTTTTTACAGTCACCATTTTAACCAATGGGATTTAATGGACAATTAGTTGAACCAACATTACGACCCCAACGTATGTATTATTCTCTTTGGACCACAAACAAGTTTAAATACAGACAAATATAATACAAGTTACTAAATTAGCAAAGAACTTCAGTATAACATTGCTGCCACGTTTAATGCTGGATGATAAGAAAACCTCAACATTTGACTTGTTCCTCAGGTCCAGCTCAGACTAGAGGACCAGGAGCTGAGGACTGAGCACAGAGCTTCACAACTTCTCTCTGACAATGTACAAACACTAACATCATTAAATTAAAGGTCCATCCAATAGTTAATATATGAAGTAATTAGGTATTCAGAGGGTCAACATTTGTTAACAGCTTTTCACTTACCTGAGGGTCTCCAGTTCACAGTGTGGACTCTCCAGTCCAGCAGACAGCAGCTTCACTCCTGAATCCTGCAGGTCGTTGTTACTCAGGTCCAGCTCTCTCAGACTAGAGGACTGGGAGCTGAGGACTGAGGACAGAGCTTCACAGCTTCTCTCTGAGAGGTTACAGCCACTCAGTCTGGAGAGGAATCAGTAATACAGTAGAAATCAATTATACACTTTTATCATTTTCTGATTAAATAATAAATACATTTAATCTGGATAATTATGTGTTCACTTACAGAGCTTTGTTGGAGGCTTTGACCACTGGCAGCAGCCTCAGTAGAGCCTCCTCTGAAGCAGAGTATTTCTTCAGGTCAAACACGTCCAGATCTTCTTCTGATGACAGTAAGATGAAGACCAGAGCTGACCACTGAGCAGGAGACAGTTTATCTTCAGAGAGACGTCCTGATATCAGGGACCGTTGGATCTGCTTCACTAGAGAACGATCATTCAGTTCATTCAGACAGTGGAACAGGTTGATGCTTCTCTCTGCAGACAGATCCTCTTCTATCTTCTTCTTGATGTACTGGACTGTTTTCTGGTTGGTCCCTAAGCCACTTCCTGTCTGTGTCAGCAGGCCTCGTAGGAGTTTCTGATTGGTCTGCAGTGAAAGACCCAGGAGGAAGCGGAGGAACAAGTCCAGGTGTCCGTTTGGACTCTGTAAGGCCTGGTCCACAGCCCTCTGGTAGAGATGTGTTAGTTTAGGTTTGGGTCTCAAGACTTCCTGCAGCCAGGACTGCTGGGAGGTTGTTGGTTCTTCTGCGTTGATGAAGGTCAGATGGACATGAAGAGCAGCCAGAAACTCCTGAACGCTCAGATGGACGAAGCAGAACACCTTGTCCTGGTACAGTCCTCTCTCCTCTCTAAAGACCTGTGTGAACACTCCTGAGTACACTGAGGCTTCTGTGATATCGATGCCACACTCTGTCAGGTCGGACTCATAGAAGATCAGGTTGCCTTTCAGCAGCTGCTCAAAAGCCAGTTTTCCTAGAGACTCCATCATCTTCCTGCTCTCTGGACTCCAGTGTGGATCTGTTTCAGCTCCTCCGTCATACTTGATGTTCTTCACTTTGGACTGAACCACCAAGAAGTGGATGTACATCTCAGTCAGGGTCTTGGGCAGCTCTCCTCCCTCTCTGGTTTTCAACATGTCCTCCAGAACTGAAGTAGAGATCCAGCAGAAGACTGGGATGTGGCACATGATGTGGAGGCTTCGTGAGGTCTTGATGTGGGAGATGATGGTGCCGGCCTGATTCTTATCTCTGAATCTCTTCCTGAAGTACTCCTCCTTCTGTGGGTCAGTGAACCCTCGGACCTCTGTCACCATGTCCACACACTCAGGAGGGATCTGATTGGCTGCTGCAGGTCGTGTGGTTATCCAGAGGCGAGCAGAGGGAAGCAGCTTCCCCCTGATGAGGTTTGTCAGCAGCACATCCACTGAGGTGGACTCTGTGACATCAGTCAGGATCTCAGTGTTGAGGAAGTCCAGAGGAAGTCGACACTCATCCAGACCGTCAAAGATGAACACAACCGAGAACTGATCAAACCTGCAGATTCCTGCGTCTCTGGTTTCAGAGAAGAAGTGATGAACAAGTTCCACCAAGCTGTACTTGTTCTCTCTCACCACATTCAGCTCTCTGAAGGTGAATGGAAATATGAACTGGATGTCCTGGTTGGCTTTGCCTTCAGCCCAGTCCAGAGTGAACTTCTGTGTTAAGACTGTTTTCCCAATGCCAGCCACGCCCTTTGTCATCACTGCTCTGATTGGTGCATCTCTTCCAGGTGAGGCTTTAAAGAGGTCTTCTTGTCTGATGGGTGTTTCTGGTCTGTGTGGTTTCCTGGATGCTGTTTCAATCTGTCTGACCTCATGTTCAGCATTGACCTCTGCAGACCCCCCCTCTGTGATGTAGAGCTCTGTATAGATCTGGTTCAGAAGGGTTTGGTTTCCTGCTTTAGCAATGCCTTCAAACACACACTGGAACCTCTCCTTCAGGGTGGATTTGAGTTTACTGCACACTGCAGCAGGAGTTCCTGAATGAACAAACAACAAGTGGAACTAGAGAATGCAATTCCTGAAGAAATTGCTAGTGGGAATGCTTTATGCTGAAAAGCTGATGCTGAACTGCTATGCTGAAATGTAATGTTTAAGAAGAAAGTGAAGAATTTAGATTGAAATGATACATGGACACTGGGGGCTTGAAGGCTTGGAAAAGCATCAGAATATTTGAACTGCAAACTTTTTAACTAACTTGATGGCGAATGATCTGTCGTCATGGCAACGGCTTTTGAGGAAAACTCACTAATGGCACAGACATGCTGAAGGGTGGACCATTAACCATCATCTGAAGTCTGGTGCTGTTTTGACCATTTTCATAGGAGTTACGACAACATCGTGTTTTATGGCGAGGGATGCGTTTCCATGGAAACAGCCTATGGTGAGATCTCAGATTTGGCGTAGAGCTGTTGAGGCATGGACCGGTGATATACAAATGAAGTTTGGGGGACGATCGGACTGTGTCCATTGGAGTTACATCGACATCGTGTTTTATGGCGAGGGATGCATTTCCATGCAAACGGCATATGATGACACCCCATAATTGACAGAGCTGTTGAGGGCCGGACCATTAACCATTATCTGAAGTCTAGTGCTGTTTTGACTATTTGCATAGGTATCACGACAACATCGTGTTTTTTGGCAAGAGATGCGTTTCCATGGAAACGCATATGGTGAGATCTCAGATTTGGCATAGAGCTGTTGAGGCATGGACCGGTGAAATACAGGTGAAGTTTGGGGGACGATCGGACTGTGTCCATTGGAGTTACAGCGACATCGTGTTTTATGGCGAGGGACAACCCAGTCTCACGGCATTTCGTGTTATAGTCACGACATTTAATCTATTGAGTCGTGTTCACCAACACGATTTCCCCCTTTTTTTCGTGTCACACAGAACGATTTTAAAAGCAATGTATTTCTATAGAGAGGCGAAGTCCCTCCCCTTCCGGTGGACCTCCATGGGACCTTATTTCGGAAAAGTTATGCATTGAAGTCAATGGAGAGAGAAAGATTATCTTTTGATCCCGTTTGAATTGTGCCACGAATTACACATATGATGTTTGTCAATTTAAAAGATAATTTTACAAGTCAAAAAAATAAAAATGTGTCGTAAAACTGTGAAGTAACACTTTTTTTGTGTGAAACCGCTCAATGAACTCCATCTCCCGTCTCGCACCACACACCAAGACGGCCGTCACGTTGGCACATTTCACTTCTTTCTTTCAGAATGAGGCGAAAAGTATTAAAAGAGGTGAAAATCACTCCAAGTCTGGGCATGTTGAGAGCTGTACATACACACAAGGGGAGTGAGTCGGTTCCTAAGAGCCAGCATGCGGGACCGGGACTCTGGGATTTGTAGTCTTTCTAGTTGCGTATTTTTCATAGTCTTATATTTCAACAGTTTTACGACAAACTGTGACTTTTTTTACATGGAAATGATTATTTAAGATTGACAAACATCATATGTGTAATTTGTGGCACAATTCAAACGGGATCGAAAGATAATCTTTCTCTCTCCATTGACTTCAATGCATAATTTTTCCAAAATAAGGTCCCATGGGGCGGAAGTAGAAGGGCGGGACTTCGCCTCTCTATTGTTAGTGTGTTTCGTGCCTGCACCACGTCTTTTTGTCCGGTCGGGTCTTGGAAGACCGGAAGCTGTGTGGTTCATAAAAACATGTTCTTACTCAATATCAAGCCACGATTATTGTTTTTATTTTAAATCATATAATGTCTGACTTTCTTTGCCGTCTGTGAGGAAAGGAAATGTGGCTCAGAGCCTCAGGATACTGAAATCTGTATTTTTTAAATCTTTTTTTCCTTCTAATTTGTTATTCTTTTCTAAATAACACACTGTTATTTACTTAAGCAATAGCTCACGACAGGCTTGAACCACGCCCCTTAGCTGTGATATAATGAGCATAGACTATGCTCATTATATCACAGCTAAGGGGCGTGGTTCAACCCCCTTAGCTGTGATATAATGGCCATATATCACGGCCTGAAGTGAGCTATTGCTTTTATAAAACGGTTACCAAGTGTGGCAATATGAAAGAAAAATACACACTCTAATTTAAATAGTTTTTATTAGTAAATAATGATGTTCAAAATAAAATAGTCCCTCTGTTGCCTTCTGCACGAAACATAGTGCGAGGTGGTTGCTATGCAACAACACTAACAGCTCGCGAACATATTAGACAGAGAGCGTTGATCCATTATTTGGCTATTTATTTACATTAATGTGTATGTTGCCGTTTATTGTGCAGCCACTGAAAACCTGTCCAGCATCAGTAGCATGGCTTACGTGGTTACTTGTATAGGTTGAGGTTGTTCTAGGCTGTTGCTTGGCGTGGCGAGAATATTGCTCCACTTTCTCCGGTCCCAGAGATTGGGCTTCCAGTAGCTCTGGAGAGAGCTTTCGCACCTGTGGCCACTAACGGTCATCATTTCTCTGCTTTGTTTCAAGACCCGCATCAGAAAGCTTTTCAATGGTGGTACTTTTCCAGTTGGTCTACCTCAGGGGTACTCAAATACAAATCTTAAAGGTCCAAAGAAAGTTTTCAATAAGACAAAGGTCCGTTTATTCATTCATTCAAACTTTTAAACAATTGCAACAAGATTCTTAACACGAGGTTGCAAAAACAAAAAGTCTCTGTAAGCAGCAGTTTTCATTGTTATTGTGTCTGTGCTTGATCCCTCAGAGTCGCAGTGTGAGAGCTGCACAGTTATGAATAAAGGCAGCTGCACCCTCTTTCATTCAGCATTCCCATTATTGCTTTATAAATGTCTCGCCCCCTTGTGTGTCCACTGAGGTTCGTCAGGCCCAACACATCTTCAACAACCTTTTGCCTCATCATAAAAACTCACAAACACCAGCAACTGAGCATTGTCAGTGGTGTCAGTGGACTCATCCACAGCTAAGGAAATGCACTGTGCATTTTGTATTCCATCACAAAGCTGATTCATCAAATCACCAGCCAGTATTTATGTTCTTCTGGTTGCTGTGGAATCTGAGAGGGGGCTTTGCTTGATTTGACCTGTTATTTCCTCTTTTTGTTTGCCTTCAAACATGGTCTCCATCACTTCAGTCATGCATTCTTTTATACTTCAGTTATTATCCAGTGGAAAGTCCTTACCTACTGGCCTAGTTTAATCAAAGTGGTTACTTTCTGTTGGCTGGGCAGTGTAGTTTTACACACCGTCTTATTTGACTTTCTCAGGACTTAAAACTGTTTTTTGGGGGCAGACCCCCACAAAGAAAAAAATATATTTACACACGTAAGGTCATCATCTTAACAGTGTTGTATGCTCATCCGTGAGCAGAGCATCAAGTTGTCTATTACAGCTGAATGCGGCGATTACCATTTTGTTCAGCAAAACGCCTCACAAACTTATTAAGATCAACAGCTTTAGTGCGTTTTGATTCAATGCTGAGTACAGCCACACTGACAGGCTCTTCTCTGTCATTGGAGACCGCACCTCATTCCTTCAGTACTTGGGTCCGAATGCTTCTCGTTTTGTGCCGTCCCGTTCAAAAGAAATCGCCACCAATCATATTTCCACGCTCGCGCTGCATTCACTTGCACTCGGACATTAGAGACTTTCTCTCATAAATGTCAGATGAGCCACAACTTTTCTTTCAACAACTGGGGTGGCAGCTGGGGTGAAGCTAGGCTACTAGCTACAGTACAGATTTTTTATACTCTCGCTCTGACTCGAGACACGCATTTTTCCCACCCGCATTCCGCGAAGACCCGCCCTACTGTGCCTCTGATTCGCAGACTGTTGGTGGGGGGAAAAAATGCTGACGGGATGCTGAATGTGATTGGACCAAAGCGTTGACAGACACACACAGACAGTGGAACAGTCTGACATGCAGAGCGCTGTTTGCAAGCGGACATAGCGGAGAATTTTGACTCGTTGCGTTGTGGCGATGTCTCGCAGATAACACAGATAATACAGATAATACAGATAATACATATGAAAAGTATAATTTGCTCAGAGTCCAGAGACAGATGTGGTTCGGTCCAGATCCGGACCGGAGTCCAGACTTTGAGGATGCCTAGTCTACCTGCTCTTCACGTAGCTCTGCATGTCGTCGTTTAGGTGCTTTTTGTTCTGGAGATAGGCACTGCTCAATCCACTCCTCCATAGTGAGACCCCCCCGGACGTCGAAGTTAATCTTAAATGTTTCCATCTTATGCTTTGTAAGTTTGTTTCGTAACGGAAGAAATGTAAATATATTTATAAAACGGACAAGTCAAATCAAGCAATCTGATTGGTCGATAGCGTTTTTGCGGACCTTTTTGATTACAGATTTGAAAACATCGTTGCTTGCTTTAAAAGTAGCTCAATCCATGATGTCAGACCTTGGGAAGTATCTAGATATCCCTGCCCTAATGCCAAAGGAACTGCACACTGAATATGTGTCGCCGTTTGATGTCTATGTCTGGACCGCTGCGTGAAAAGGAGGGTTTCTGCCCCGTTACTTCTCCGCTGTTTTCTTGTCCCAGTTTGCTTTTCAGCCCAAACTGTACAGTTTTTCTCAGACGCGGAGGGATACTGACTTGTTGTGAAAAGTAACTACAATTCTACCCGTGGTATACGCTCAGTATATCACGGCTAAGAACCAATCAGATTGCTTGATTTGACTTGTCCGTTTTATAATCAACAATAACACACAATTATCCTTGTTTTTATTTATTTGTTTAATTCTATAATCTCTGGCTTTTTTGGCGTCCGTCAGGAACTGAATTTCAAAATAAAATAACCGGAAACAGACGTAGGCCTATAAGGGACATTTCGAGCATAATTGCGATACACACCCACTGAACTGATTACTCAAGATCCTCAGCTATGGTTTAAGCTCGGTGATTGGATGTTTTAGCCGCAATGCACGTTGGGATATGGTGTTAATGCGATATGAAATCCGAAAAACATTTAGGAGTTTAGGATGGCCGAAGACACCACACTACCT